CAAAAATCCGTGCATGCTGCAGCTACGTGTTGATGCAGCACATGAAGGATTGACTGAAAATAATTTTGAGACGAGGGCACTGGGCAGTCATTGGTACCCAGAGCATAAACGATGTATATGGGAGTCGCGAGGGTCGAGATCTCTTCTCAAAGAGCCGAACTCACCACGGGCCGAAGCGTTGCTGCCTGGGGCGGGCAGCCTTCGTGGAGGCCTGGAGAGCCTCAGGGCGGTCTGTCTGAGTCAGGGGTAAAGGCCTTCTAACAACAAAGGATAATATGTCATGTAGAGTTACCTCCCTGATCCGTACGTATGCCCTGAACACCCTGAAAAAATGCATCAAAAAAAAACTGGAGAGCCTTCTCGCCCTGGGATTTCAATGCCGCTTGGGCTGCAGCGAGGCGAGCAATGGGCACGCGGAAGGGCGAGCAAGAGACGTAGTCCAGACCCGTCTTCTCGCAGAACTCGATCGAAGCCGGATCGCCTTTTTTGTCTGGAGGTTTATCCTTCTCGTATCTCCTCCTTCTAGCATGTGATGAGAGCAGTTGCAAGACAGAGCAAAAACAACAAATAAACCCCCAAGAAACGCAACCACACAAACACTAAGCCCCAGGCCCCAGTCCATCAACGCCGAATCCGAATTCCTCAACCCCGAGCCGAGGCACCTCCGTGCTCTCCGCAGATGCCCATCTTCATGCCCGAACGGCTGCGGCGACCGCGCTCCACTGCGATCTGGATCAGCTCGCCAACGCCCTCCTTGTGGGGGGCGGCGGGTGTTTAGCCTGAAGGTATAGGATTTTGCTGCGTGTTCAAGTGAGGATTAAGTAAGGACTATATAGGAGGACCGAATACCTGTTCTAACGGACATGAGGAATAAGTCTCTACAACCCTCAACCCTCAGACATCCTCTCCTGATCCAGGCTCACAAAGGGATCCTGCTCGACGATACCCTTTGCCTTGTACTCAGGCAGGAAGGCTCCTGAGGTGGACCCCACATGTTCGAGTTTTCTCTAAACGGCGCAATGCCATTATTACCAAATGTGATTCTACAAAATCGGGGAAATCCGCACATGCTGAATCATAAGCTCGAAATCAAAAAGCTTGCTTTCCTGCCCTTCTGTTCTCATAGCCTCCCCCCTGCCTGCATCATCTCGGCTTAGGCCATACGTAGTCTGGGTCAGATCGTTGGTGCCAAAGCTGAAGAACTCCGCTTGCTCTGCGAGGCGACCTGCTTGCAGTGCAGCTCGGGGTAGCTCCACCTCACTGTGTTCCGCAAAGGATGGGTTTTCATGTTTGGAGTAATGACCGCCATGCGCTACCAATGCTTTTGCTCAGTATTTTGCTGTACATGGAAAACAGTCGTGCTTCGCGCGTTGGCGCAGCCACCAGCGTTCAGAAGTGGCTAGGAGAATGTCGAAGGTCTTGGACTGATCCTAGAAAATCCTGACGGGAATGTGGTGGGTACTCGGGATCCTGAGTAACCTGTTTGGTGAAAGCTTCCATGGTTCTGGATATTACGAAACCCAACCAAGGTAGGTGAGGGTCCACGCTTTGAGTTCTTCTGCAATCCCACTCGGTCTTTGTGTCCTGGTGAAAACAGAACATGGTGTAGTGGGTCTTCGGGAGGAGTCGCGGACTAGTAACCAGGATGCGGCGGCTGCTTGAGTATTTCTCAAAACTATTCCCCAGTAATCCTCTTCTCTCCCTTTGTTTCCTAGGTTCCTTGAGAAAGTACGTAGGTTGCGGGTTGGAGGTTTGGAGCGTAGGGATGATATTGTCTGAGGGTTGAGGATTTAGGCCGCGAGGGCCAATGGCAGCTTCTGAGTTTACGCTTGAAAAGATACAGGAGCTACAGGTCCCATCCAGTAGGCAAAGCAGCCAGGCAGCCTTTAGAAACGGATGCCCTCTCTGCATTTTAGCTTCCCTTGTGGGAAAGCCTGATGCTGGAGAGTATGTTGGTTTTTGCGGATAACCAGTCTGTGGAATCCGCATTACCCTACGACCAAAAAAAGACCAATCTCTGGCACCCTGTAAAAGCGCAAAAGCTCAAACGCCCCGAAACCATAACACTCGCCACTGATCAGGGGCTCCCTTTTCGCTCTCCTCTACACTACCCCCAAGCTTTCTTCACGGTTTGGCTTAGTTGATGAACATTTGACTGGGCTCTCGTTGAACAACATCTTACATGTTGATGTATACCTGGGCCCAGTATAGATTAAACATGCTCATGATCAATAGTATTTCAAAAAGTTATTGATCTTTTTAAGGTTAACTTACCCAAAGTACAACAAGGAGTAACCCAAGGGAGGGGTAGTCTAGAGGGGTGGCCCTTAGGAAATCCGACCCAATGTCAGCCTAAGTTACTAAGCCCAAAACCCTAAATCATAAACCCTAAAAAGTTTAGGGTATAGGACTGAATCCCCTGCCCTAAACAAGATATCACAAACTAAGCCTGGAGGTTCTGGTCCCCGTTTTTTTCCAATAGGGTTTAGGGGCCCTTAAATCCCCCACCCTGAACAATACATAAACCAAGCTGAGAGGTCCTTATCCAGGGAGAAGCCGGGCGCTGAGCTCTCAGCCCCAAACCCTAAACCCT